AAATCCCAAGGAGCCATTGATACCATTCCACCGTCCCCTGAGGGCTCTGAGTGAACGTTCTCTGTGTTCTTCTGACAGCTGTGGCTCTGGCCGTAGTGAGGCCCTTCTCAGCACTGCTCTTTCCTTTTGGCCTAGGCTGGCCTTGGTTTGGTCATTTGATCCTTTGCTTGGAGTCCACTGCCACTGCTGTCCATGTGTCCCTGAGGGTAGCTATGACAGCAGGCAGGGGATCTGTCCCCTTGCCAAGCCCAGGACCAGGATTTCCTGCAGGTTTTCCATCAGTTCAGATCTCTCAGGCTTTGCAAGTGGAGGCCACTGATAGTGGCTAATAGAGCCCCAAGAAGGATCCTACTCCCAACAGGGGCCAATGTGTCATAATAAATAGGGAAAAAGAGGTTCGGCTGGAGTTTTATCTTGGGACATGAAGTTGAAGTGCATGAAATTAAGCTTACCCTGTCTTCCTCTTTAAGAACTTTTGACTCTCATTCTAACTATGTGTTAATTGAAATGAATCAAGTTGTTTTAATGCATTTTTCCCCAATGAAATCACATGAGAGCATGAAACGATACCATTCACTTCATGATTGACTTTTATAGCAACATCATTAAAGCAAGTTATCTACACAAGTATTAAATGCTCTCTCAGTTCTCCTGACAGCTTGTCTTCAATCTTTGATATGCAATGTGTTCTTTTCCCCCAAGTACCTTTGCTGTTGACAACCTTGTCAATTTCATAGCCTCAGTTTTTGTCTTGTCCAACTTTGCCATGTGGGCGTTGGTGATCATTGATACAGGAGACTGGTAGTTTGCTACACTTTGCCACAACTTCATGAAATTCTGCATTTTTCCATGATTTGCAATTTCACTTAAATTGTTTTTGCATTGTAATGCATGTATTGCTGGATTTTATAGCATTTGACAATCAGCAAAAAGATGAACTGAAAAGGATCATAGTAGGATGGGCAGTGAGGAGAGGTGGTTGTGTTAAGCAAGGAGGGCCATTGGAGAGGGAACTCATCTTATTAAAAAAACCAACAAACAAACCCAAAACAGTTCACTTTGAATAATTTCATATCATGGTACTTTAACTTCCCTGTGCAATAGCTGAAGGACTCAGAAATTGGATAGTGAGTCAAAGCCCCATCCCCACCCACCCTGTCATTCCAAAGCCAACCTGTCTCCAATACAAGTAAAACCCTGTTCTCTCCCCACTGGGAATCATAGTCACTCAGAACTCTGTGATGACTGTGGGAAATGTCCCCAGTTTATTCTCATGTTAGATGACACATCTGACACTCCAAAACAATCATGATCAGAAGCCAGCTTGTCTTTCTCCAACTGATGTTTTCAATCCACCCAGCAGATGTTCTTTGAGCTTCTACTTTGTGTCAAGTCCTGGACTGTTCATTGACTTTGGGCA